AGGACAAGAGAGAACATTAATATTCTTGTGCAAGTCAGCTGTCCAGGCAGTGAGCTGAAGAAGGGTAAAAAAGTAGATGTAGAGGGGCAAGAAAATGTAACTTTTAAAGATTCCTCTTTTTACTTCTTGTATTCTACTAGAGGCCTAGTGCACAAAATTCGTGCACAGGGGTGATGGTGTCCCTCAGCCCAGCCTGCACCCTCTCCAATCTGGGACATCCTTCTCACAATCCAGGACTGCTGGCTCTCAACTGCTCACCTGCCTTCCTTCCTGATTGCCCCTAACTGCTTCTGCCTGCCAGCCTGATCACCCCCTAACCACTTCCATGCCAGCCTGATTGATGTCTAACTGCTCCCCTGCCATCCTGTTTGCCCCAACTTCCCTCCTCTGCTGGTCTGGTCACTGCTAACTGCCCACCTCTGCTGGTCATCTTGTATCAACATGGGGGCAGCTATTGTGTGTTGGAATGATGGTCAGTCTGCATATTACTCTTTCATTAGATAGGATAGAAGCCTGATGCATGGGTGGGGGCCAGCTGGTTTGCCCTGAAGGGTGTCCTAGATTCTGTCCTGGTGCATGGGATATGGGGCGGCCTGAGCGAGGGGACTGTGGTGGTTTTCAGGCCAGCCACGCCCCAGGGCGACCCAAGCAGAGGCCCTTGTATCTGGGATTTATGTATCTTCTATAATTGGAACTTTATAGCATGGAGTGGAGCCAAGCCTTCTGCTTGCTCTGTGGCTGCCAGCCATTTCTGTTTGGATTTATTTACTTTCTATAATTGAAACTTTGTAACCTTGAGTGGAGGCTTAGGCTGGCTAGGGCAGGCGGAAAGCTTGGCTTCTTCCATTGCCAGAGAAACCCAAGTCTCCCTGCTGCTCTCTGTGGAGGCAGACATCTTGGTTGGGGTTAATTTGCATACTCATTCTGATTGGCTGGTGGGCATAGCTCTTTCTAGCTACCTTTTTTTATCTCCTTAGCTTGTAATTAACTTCTGAAAGCTAGGTGCCTCAGAGCTAGGCCTCTGACCCTATTCTCTAATGCTCCATGGACAAATGAAGTCTCCAGATTTCTCCCTATAATCCAGAGCTATCTCCCAATTAGTACTGCCATCTGATATTGCCACAAAGCTATCCAACTGGCTTCCAAACTTTCAACCCCTGATTTTCTCTCTAACTTATTTTTTCTCTCAGTCTTCTTCTTTCCATCTTTTCTCAATTCTCTAAGTCTCATAAGAGGCAAAGCTGGGATTTAAACTGGGTCTTTTTAATATCTAAACCTGTGTACATTCCTTCATACTATGTGCTTCTACTACAAGTCCTGGGCAAGGTGGCCTATAGGCAAGTACAAATTGAAACGGTTCACCTTAACATAATTGTTTCTGAGTTGCAGATCTTGGAAAACAATAGATGGGATCCTGTTTTGTAGTCACAGAAGTTTCCAAGTCTATTCTGGACAAAGTTATCAAACCAGGAAGAGATGGTAAAGATAATATGGGTTGGACAGAGGCACAGCTAAAAGGAGAAGCCAAGCCAGCTAGGGATCACTGTCAATTCAGCATCAACCATAGCAGGTTTCTCAACCTCAACATTATTGGCATTATAATTCTTTTTTAAAAAAATATGTTTTTATTTATTTCAGAGAGAGAGAGAGAGAGAGAGAGAGAGAGAGAGAGAGAGAGAGAGAGAGAGAGAGAGAAACATCGATGATGAGAATTATTGACCAGCTATCTCATGCATGTCCCAAACTGGGGATAAAGCCTGCAACCCCAACATATGCCCTGACCAGGAATCTAACAATGAGCTCCTGGTTCATAAGTTGAAGCTCAACCACTAAACACACTGGCTGGGCTGGGTGGGGCTGCATAATTCTTTGTGGCACTTTCTTTGTTGTCCTGTATATTGTAGGATGTTTAGCAGCATCCTGAGCTTCTACCTACTGTATGCCAGCAGTACCCTTCTAGTTTTGATAACCAAAACAGTTTCTGGGCATTGCCAAATGTCCCACTGAAGGTAAAATCTTCAATGTCCCACCTTCAATTGCACTACAGGAATGTACTCTGAGCTTTGTTCTAAAGGAAACATGGAGAGAAACTTTTTTAAAAAAATTATAAATTCCTGTATAAATAATAAAATACATCAAAAATCATGTTTTCAAGTAATTTTTAGAGATATGAGAAAACAATAATGTAAAATTATAAAAGGGTTTATATCAAACTGTGTAAATGATACAAGATCTGTTTGTAGGAAAAAAGTTATATAAAAGCATGGAAAGAAACAGGAAGATTTAAGAATCATAATTATTATTTTATTGAATTAGCTTGCCAAGATCCAGACACTGTGTTAAGTGCTTCACACTAACCTACTAATTTAATCATCACAATAATTCTGTTTTACCAATCAGGAAACTAGGGGTAACTTGCACAATGCTGTATAGCTGTGGAGAAGATAGGTCTTGAAAATAAATGGATGAAACTCCAACGTCCATCTCTTTTTTTTAAAAAATATATTTTATTGATTTTTTTTACAGAGAGGAGGAGAGAGGGATAGAGAGCTAGAAACGTTGATGAGAGAGAAACATCGACCAGCTGCCTTTTGCACACCCCCTACTGGGGATGTGCCCGCAACCAACGTACATGCCCTTGACCAGAATCGAACCCGGGACCTTTCAGTCCGCAGACCGACGCTCTATCCACTGAGCCAAACTGGTCTCGGCCCAACGTCCATCTCTTAACAAGTATTCTACTTCATAACAAAGATTGTACACCAAACATTAACAAAGTTTGTCTCTACACAAAGGAATTAAAGGTGATTTTTTTTTCTCTACATTTTTCTGTCTATTCCATATTTTCTACTATGATGTTTATTACTTCTATAATCAGAAAAAAATATTAAGTAAAAGTTATGAAAACTACTTGGTAACATGGAGAAAAAGAATTATTATATGTTAACTTAAAAAATTTAGTGCAGACCTAGCTGGTGTGACTCAGTTTGGCTGGGCATCGTCCCATACACCAAAAGATTGCTGGTTCGATTCCCAGGCAGGGCACATGCCTGGGCTCTAACCCTGATGGAGTGAGTGCAAGAGGCAGCTGATTGATATTGTATTCTCATATTGATGTTTCTCTTTCTCTCCCCCTCTCTCTTCCTCTCTCTAAAAATCAATAAAAGTATTTTTTTAACTTAATGTAAAGTAGGATTACAATTATATAAAACTCTACAGGAGATAAAACAAAGTATATGAAATACTAATAGTAATTGTATTATGGAGTGGACTAAAAAGTAATTTTTACTTATATTTTCCATATTAATAGTTATATTTTGTAATGGATCAAAGTTTATTATTAAAAGAAAGCAATCGCAATAATTGGTAGCAGGAGTGGGGAATCTTTTTTCTGCCAAGGGCCATTTGAATATAACGTCATTCGAGGGCTGAGGGTCATTCAAAATTATGAACTTAAAAATTAGCTTGCTGCCCTAACTGGTTTGGCTCAGTGAATAAAGCATTGGCCTGCAGACTGAAGGATCCCAGGTTCCATTCCAGTCAAGGGTGCACTCCCGGGTTGTGGGCTCCATCCCCAGTAGGAGGCGTGCAGGAGGCAGCCAATCAATAATTCACTTTGATCACTGATGTTTCTATCTCTCTCTCCCCCTCTCCCTTCCTCTCTGGAATCAATAAAAATATATTTTAAAAAATTAGCCTGCTATATTTGGTCAAACATTTAATTAACTCATCCCTACTGCATTGGGAGGGCCAGACCAATGATTTTGTGGGCCTTATATGGCCTGAGGGCCGGACGTTCCCCACCCCTGATCTATAAACTCACTACCTTGAGATAACACTGTTAACATTCAATAAGTTATTTCTAGTCTTTTTCTAAGACCAACATGATCACTTATAAACACTAATTTGAAGGAACCAAAGAGAATTCTACTCAACCTGCAGATAACACTAAGTTGGTTAGGACAGTTAAAAGTTGGATTCAAAACATGATCTTAAGGAAGAAAAGGAATGCAACTAATATTATGGAGTATCTGTCAGACAATGAAAAAGTGGAATTTCTGGACTGAAAACCTGGCTCTCCATGGCCTGAATAGGATGGTGCTTGGTCTTTCTGAACCACTTTTTTTGAATATCTATTCCCTAAATACTTTCCCGGAGCATTTCTTTGAGAAAACGTGTGTGTGTGTGTGTGTGTGTGTGTGTGTGTGTGAAAACACTTTGAGCCGGAAGTGGTTTGGCTCAGTGGATAGAGCGTTGGCCTACAGACTGAAGGGTCCCAGGTTCGATTCCGGTCAAGGGCATGTACCTTGGTTGTGGCACATCCTCAGTAGGGTGTGTGCAAGAGGCAGCTGTTTCTCTCTCATCTATGTTTCTAACTCTCTATCCCTCTTCCTTCCTCTCTGTAAAAAATCAATAAAATATATTTTTTAAAAAGAAGAAGAAAACACTTTGGAAACTCTAAATTCCTGTATAAAGGTAAGAATCATTATTGTTCTAAGTCAAAAAGAAAAACAGTGGCATGCAATTCAAAAATATTTTCAATGCCGGGACCGGTTTGGCTCAGTGGATGGAGCGTCAGCCTGCGGACTGAAAGGTCCCGGGTTCGGTTCCGGTCAAGGGCATGTACCTTGGTTGCAGGCACATCCCCAGTGGGGGGTGTGCAAGAGGCAGCTGGTCGATGTTTCTCTCTCATGGACGTTTCTAACTCTCTGTCCCTCTCAATTCCTCTCTGTGTAAAATCAATAAAATATATTAAAAAAAAATATTTTCAAGCACAAAGCAAAAAATATAACCCAAAAATAATTTCTGCATGACCATGTAAATAACTAATCTTGATTCAGATTTACCTACCTAATATACTGCTGATAAGCAAAGGTAACCTTTAGTATGACCTGCACAGAAAAACTTGTTTATGTCTTAAATAATGCTGAAAGGATTCTCTGCAGCCAAAGGAGAGCCAGCCTTTGGAAGCATCTAGGGAAACAAACTGGATCTCTTACCTGCAGCTCTGCTTCCAGGCCCAGCCGTCTGATAAAGGGGTCAGTGACATGGTAGTGCCGCTCAAAGCTCAGGGCACCCCGCTCCTGGGGGACAGAAACAAAACATAGCCTCATTGATTTAATTCAACATGACTCATCATGTGCCTACTATATCCAACACTTGTGCTGGGAACTACAGGCATTAAAAAAATATAATAAAAAATCAGCTTGTGGGAGCTTGCTGACAGGGATTAGAGAAAGAACAGAGTATATAAGTATTAAACTGCACTTTTTGGGTTACCAAAAAAAAAAAAGGAAAAAAATTGAAAACAACAAATAGGAAATGTTTCCGTAGTAGGTTAGAGTAGGTGGGTATCAACTTTAGAACACATACTGTGCAAGATATGTGAAGGGAAAATTTGCATGCTCCCTCCAACTCTATGTTTCTGTGCCCCTAGGAAATGGTCCTTGCCCTGAGGGCCACCAGTCTAATGATATCATAAAAGCCCCCACAATTGGACAAAATTCCAAAAAGATTCAGGGATGCAGAGGAAAATACTATATGAAACACAGACTAACGTGTACAAAGCACAAGGCTCCCATAGAGGCATACACTTGATCCTTCTGGATGGTGACCACAGTTTATGCTACATGCTACTTATATTTAAAAGATTTTTAATTAAAAAGTGTTTTAGCATTGACAACATTTTCAAAGAACATTCTCATGTTCTTTTGGATTTCATTCTCAAGATCAGCCAGCCTGCAGGCAGACAGATGTTATTATCATTTAACAACAGAAAGTGAGGCATAGGGAAGTAAAATGACTAAAGTCTTCTAAGGTAGCTAATTAGTGCTGGTGAGATTTAGCTCCTCACTTCAGCTTAGGGTTCTTTTACACACACACACACACACACACACACACACACACACACACACGGCCTGGTGCATGAAATTCGTGCTCGGGTAGGATCCCCAGGCCTGGCAGGCAATCAGTGCCTATTGGGCCCTTCCGGCTGTTGTCTGGGGCCTTGCTGCTGGCTGCTGGCCAGGGCCTTCCTTTGTTCTGCATCGTACACATCATAGTGATCGATCAAACTCCCGGTCTTTCGATTGAACTCCTAAGGGGACATTTTGCATATTGGCCTTTTATATATATATATATAGAAGATATTTTTATTGATTTCAGAGAGGACGGGAGAGTAAGAAAGAGATAGAAACATTAATGAGAGAGAGAGAATCATTGATCAGCTGCCTTCTGTACTGTCCCCTATTAGGGATTGAGCCCTGCAATCTGGGCATGTGCCTTGACTGGGAATCAAACTGTAACTTCCAGGTTCATAGGTCAATGCTCAACCACTGAGCCATGCTGGCCAGGTCCAGCTTAGGGTTCATACTAGAGAAGCTCATCATGTCTTGGTAAGCATTAAGCCCCCGATTTCTTTTACTAAGGGTTTCCCTGACAAAGTCTGAATGAACTTGACTTTCTAAATGAACTTGACTCTCCAGTTATCCACTCATCTCACAGTACTGGAGTGTCTTCTATGTACATCCTACAAAGGACAGGTGCAGGCTTTGTTTGGTACAGGAGATCCTCAAAGAGAAGAAAGAGTCTAAGCTGAACTGGGACTAAGACTCTCCTAGGTTCTTATATGTTCAATTTAGCAGCTGGAGCCCTAGCTGGTTTGGATCAGTGGATAGAGCATCAGCTTGCGGACTGCAGGGTCCCATGTTCAATTCTGGTCAAGGGCATGTGCCTGGGTTGCTGGCTCAATCCCCCCCAGTGGGGGGCGCACAGGAGGCAGCCAATCAATGATTCTCTATCTTCCTTTCTGAAATCAATAAAAATATATTTTAAAAAATTAGCAACTCGGAGCAGCACAAAGAAGCTACATTTACTCCTGCTGTAACCCCCACACATACATATGCATGTAGCCAAGTATGCACAAACACATATACACACACATGAATGATATGGTTCTCCTCTCTCATTTATCTTCATTAATCTCAAAGACCCAGGTACAAGCACATGGACAGGGGAGTCTCCCCGAGTTTTATTGGTTCTAGTCCAGAGTCTGCACTATTAGCTATGTGATTTTAGGCAAGTCACAAACTCTAACCCTCAGTTTCTTTGGCTAAACACTGAACCTGCCGGGAAGAAAGGACCTCATGCTCTGGTTTAGTGGCTTACCTTGATCTGCCTATTAATGAGGTCTCTAGTTATGTTGACTTTTGCCATCTTCTCTTAATGAATTCAACAGAAGGAAGCTAGATAAAGATCTTCAGAACCCTTGAGCATTCCAGCAAAGCCCAGGTCCGAAGGACACACATTTAATTTTCTGTGGAGGAAAAAAATGATCAAACCTTAGATGGAATAAGGTAGCTTCAGAGTCCCGATTTCACTCCTAAAACAGCCCCCCAGCCTACCCAGTGAACTGGCTATTGCCTGTGATTTATGACACAGTGCTGAGGATCCTCTGGAGCAGTGGTCACCAACCTTTTGGGCCTCCTGGACCACCAGAAGTCCGTGGACCAACAGTTGGCAACCGCTGCTCTGGAGGACAAGTGGAATAGGGGAGGGGGAGACAATGACTCACATCCACAGAAAGTACTGGAACAAACACCAATAAGTCATGTATACTTCACCAGAAAATGGGGGGTTGGATGAGTGTAAAGGAAGATGGAAGCATATCCTGAAAATAAGACCAAGGTACGTACACAGCAAGAAAGATCTCATTTCATTTGCTCAGAATGTATCTGTGGCAACCAGTCTGAGACTTTTTTTTAAGTGTTATCTTTTTCCATTTTTATTTATTTATTTTTTATTTTAGAGAGAGGAAGGGAGAGGAATAGATAGAAGAAACATCAAAGTGAGAGAAACATTGATTGGCTCCCTCCTGCACTTCCTTTTTTTAAATATATTTTATTGATTTTTCACAGAGAGGAAGAGAGAGGGATAGAGAGTCAGAAACGTCGATGAGAGAGAATCATTGACCAAATGCCTCTTGCACACCCCCTACCGGGGATGTGCCCGCAACCAAGGTACATGCCCTTGACCGGAATCGAACCCGGAACCCTTCAGTCCGCAGACCAACGCTCTACCACTGAGCCAAACCGGTACCGGCGTGCACTTCCCTTACTGAGGATCTGCCTGCAACCTGAGCATGTGCCCTGATCAGGAATCCAATCTTGGTTCATGAGTTGATGTTCAACCACCTAGCCACACTGGCTGGGATGAAACTTTTAATTAATTAATGCTTCAAATCCCTGACCCTCAGTATCACAGAGAGGTCATGCAGCCCTCTAATAGATTCACAGAATCAAAGAGTGGACAGGAGATGTAATGAGACCAGGTCCAATATGCAATCTGATAAAGAAATCCCTCTTCAATATCCTGATAGGTATGCTTTCAACCTTAAAACCTCTTGAACCAACCTATTTCTGTTTTATAATTTTGATGATGGCTACAAAGATCTAGTAATCTCATTTCTGATAATGTACCATAAGAAAACACAAACTGTAATCTAAAAGTTCCATAACACGCCTCTAAGAAAGTTCTATACCCAAGCATATTCATCACAGATTTTATAAAATAAAAAAAAAAATTTGCTTTTACAAGTTTCTAATGATAGAGGAGTTAAATAATGTACAACCATATTATATTATGCATCATTAGAAATGCTACCTGTGAAAGAAAAATGCTTACATCACATCAAATGTTTACATAATATGATGCTCTTTCAATAAATAATACTATTAGTTAGGTATCTTTTTTTTCAGTATCATATCTCTCATAAACATTTAAAAAATATATATATTTTATTGATTTTTTACAGAGAGGAAGAGAGAGGGATAGAGAGTCAGAAACATCGATGAGAGTCATCGATCAGCTGCCTCTTGTACACCCGCTACTGGGGATGTGCCCACAACCAAGGTACATGACCTTGACCAGAATCGAACCTGGGACCCTTCGGTCCGCAAGCTGACGCTATATCCACTGAGCCATACCAGTTTCGGTTCTCATAAACATTTTATGAAAAATTTCAAGCATTAAAAAAACTAGAATCATATATATAAAAGGCTAATATGCTGTGTCCATCCGGGCAATGACATCACGTAGCAACGCTTGCCTTCCTCTCCCTAGTGACTAGCCTCCTTGGAGTTTGTTTCTTCAGCCCAGGAACAGGACTTGCTTTATAGTCAGGGAGACACATTTCACACTTTAACCAAATGTCTGTGAAGCGTTTTCCCACGCCTCATCTCATTTGGTCCTCAGAGAAGTCCTGGAATAGGTAGAGAGGAGACTCGGTTGAATCCTATTTTCTTTTCATTAGCTCAAAAACCAAGGTTTAGAAACTTGACCTGACTGAAAAGAAATGGTGGACCTTGAAAATGATTTCAGGTTTTCTCACTGCTCAGAAAATAGTCAAATACTGCTGCAGTATAATATTTTACCCTTTGTTCTCCCTGTGTGATCTATAATAATAATCTGCTTTGTGTTAATACTTATTGCTCTGTTGCTGGTAATTACCTGAAAGAGAAGTTGGGGTGCTTCACAGGGCTGGAAAAAGTTTAGCTAAATCAGAAAGCAGGTCTAATTAAGCAAGTTTATTCTATATCTAGAAAAGGCTAAGTTGATTCGTGCATGCGTGACATATATAAAGCTCTCACTGGTGCCAATCACACACGTGTTTCCATCTGTCACTGTCGATCATGAATTTAGTTGACACTTCTATTATAGCAAAAGGGCGAATAGTGATATTAAAATATTTCTTCTAATTTATTTCCTTTCAATGTGCAAAAATTTGTGCACCAGGCCACTAGTAACAAGTATAATGACTTACCAAATGCCCATCACCAGCTTTGGTAATTATGAACATCTAGCTCCGTGGTCGGCAAACTGCGGCTCAAGAGCCACATGTGGTTCTTTGGCCTCTTGAGTGTGGCTCTTCCACAAAATACCACGGCCTGGGTAAGTCTATTTTGAAAAAGTGGCGTTAGAAGAAGTCTAAGTTTAAAAAAATTGGCTCTCAAAAGAAATTCAATCACTGTACTGCTGATATTTGGCTTTGTTGTCTAATGAGTTTGCCGACCACTGTTCTAGATTAATGATCACTATGAGAATTCACCAAAAGAGCCAACTAAATTGTCAATACTCATTCACTAATTTTCTTAAAACATATACTGAGAATTTACCAAGTATCAAGCACTGTGTCAGACATAGGGCAGCACTGAGATAAAAGACATACCACCTACATTAACACAGCAGAGAGTCAAAGACAAGAGGCTTTCGTTATTGGTGTGTCGCTTGGAAATACTAAAAGGAAAAAGCAGAGAAACCAGACAAGCAAAAAAAGTCACTATAATGTAGGTAAATAGTACAATGGAAATTGGAATTTTACAACACTATCAAACTAGTATATAGAGTTTTCAAACACCAAACATCAAATTTAATAACTCAGGTCGAAATCGGTTTGGCTCAGTGGATAGTGTCGGCCTATGGACTGGAGGGTCCTGGGTTTGATTCTGGTCAAGGGCATGTACCTTGTTTGCAGGCACATCCTTGGTGGAGAGTGTGCAAGGGGCAGCTGATCAATGTTTCTGACTATCTCTCTCCCTTCCTCTCTGTGGAAAATCAATAAAATATATATATTTTTAAAATTTAATAACTCAGTTGGTATTTCTATTTCCATCATGAGATGAAATGATAGCATACAGCCCTCCCCTCTCAAAGAAACAGGAATTCAGTGTCTTTCCACAAATGCTTGCAGGCAGATAGGCACAAGTGGAAATGCTTCTAAGCAGGGTTTACTTAGAAAATTAATATTAGGAGAAAATACCCTCAAATCTACGAAGAAAGATAACTAGCGCCATACTTCAGTCCAAATAGCCCAGCCAGCGTGGTTCAGTGGTTAAGCATCAACCTATGAACCAGGAGGTCACGTTTCAATTCCAGTCAGGGCAAATGCTGGGGTTGCAGGCCCAGTAGGTTGTCTGCAGGAGGCAACTGATCAATGATTCTCTCTCATCACTGATGTTTCTATCCCTTTCCCTCTACCTTCCTCTCTGAAATTAATGAGGTCAATAAATGGTTATCTGAATATGAGAAGATTTAATCATGCTCAAATTTTAATAGCATTATTTTAAGGAAGGCTCTGAAACAGTCAATTCTACAGAGTAAAAAACTAATTCATAGATATAGAATAATCTGAATGATTTGGAGATGAAGAAAGTTTTATATGTATACACACACACACACACACACACAAAAGGCTAATGTGCTAAGTGTCCGACCATCTGATCAGTCACTATGACGTGCACTGACCACCAGAGGGTAGACGCTCAATGCAGGAGCTGCAGAGCTGCAGTGACTTGGCAGTGGCAGTTCTCGGGTGATGCACCCCAAAACCATGGGTTATGTTGTTGCTGGGGCACTGTCGGTTCTGAATCTGGTTTACTGCACATTCACATTTGCGTTCCACATCCTGTACAACAACTTTGCAGAATTGTACTCTGGGAACCCTTGTACTCTGGGACCCCTCGGGGGATGTTGGAGAGCTGGTTTGGGTCCAATTCCATAGGCCAGGCAAAGGGACGCCTCTCACTCTACAGATACCGGGGAGGGACCACAGGAGGCTGACTCCAGGGCATGCCCACCCATCTTGCCCAGGCCTGCCCCACTAGCCACCTTCTAATTAATTTCTTTTCAATGTGCATGAATCCATACACTGGGTCATTAGTACACATATAAAAGGCTAAGTGACCGACTGTACATCCGTCTGACTGACCAACAGGTACATATGAGGCATACTGGCAATTTAAAAATAAATGTTGACAAGTGCATGCGCAATACGTATAAAGCTCTGGCTGGCACCAATCGCACGTGTGTGTTTCAATCTGTCATTGTTGATTGTGAATTTGGTTGACACTTCTATTATAAAGAAAGGGCGAATAGTGGTATTAAAATATTTCTTCTAATTAATTTCCTTTCAATGTACACAAATAGTGTGTTACATATATATATATATATATATATATATATATATATATATGATTAAACACTAAAAAGGACTACAAGGAATTTCAATCTCTAGCCCAGCAAAGTACATAATAATTGTGCTGCTAAAAGGCAAAAAGACTGAAATAAGTGACATTAAGAATTAAAATTGTTAATGCCCACTATACCAAGTACTGTGCTAGACTTTGAAAATACAGCAAAAGCCGAAACTGGTTTGGCTC